ACTGATCGCCATATTTGGGGTCGGGAAGGAATTTTCCTCCAGGGTAGATTGGCTGAGGCCCTGGAGGTTTTTCGCCTTCCTCCGCAGCATGGGGCAGGGATCGCTAGAAGGAGGGTTCTCTGCCAATTGAAGTCACTAAAACACAGGATTTGGGGACTTCAACAGCAGAGTCAAGGGAACGGGTAGGGACGGTTTTGTGGCCTGCAGCATGCAGGGGGTCAGACCCGATGATCATAATGGTCCCTTCTGACCCTAAAGTCTATGAGGGCTTGTCTATACTTACGCGCTGGTTCGGCGGCAGGCAATCGAACTTCTGGGTTCGATTTATTGCGTCTTGTCTGGACGCGATAAATCTAACTCAGAAGTGCTCCCCGTCGACTCCGGTAATCCTGCTCGCCGCGAGGAGTACGCAGAGTCGACGGGGGAGCCTGCCTGCCGGGTCTGGACCGCGGTAAGTTTGAACTAAGGTACGTCGACTTCAGCTACGTTATTCACGTAGCTGAAGTTGCGTACCTTAGTTCGATTTGGGGGTTTAGTGTAGACCAAGCCTGAGTCTATGAGTCTATCAATCCTACAGCAGTCAGAGCCACAAAATGGTTGCTAAAAGCTCTTAGGAGCTCCCTCTTAGCATTTGAAAACATACTAAAATCATTAATAATATCTCTTTTTGAATTTTATATGAAATTTGCAATACTATTGTAACCAAACAGATGATTTTGCTTGCAAGAGGCAAGATTCTGTGTTTATCACTTATCAAAGGTATGAATATGTACATAGTTTGTAGGACTCTTTAAAGATAGCTGATAGAGTTTCAGCATGGCTCAATCCTGGCTAGCTACAAACAAAAGGCCACTGTTTTCTATAAATCCACCAAATAACACCAATTGAAATATTGTGCACAGAAGCACAAACACAGGATAACATTACTTTTCTGACCAGCAAGAACACAACAAAGTGCATCTCAAGAGCTTTGTTTGTATGGAACAGGCCTCTCTAAGCTCTATCTGTGCAGAATGAACTGGCTGAAGAGGCTTTCCTTAATGCACTTCTTAATGGCATGGCTCTTCAGACTGTTCCCATTCCATTATGGCATGTGCACTACTTCTCCTTGTATTTCTGGCTAAAGGAATACAAGGGAAACATGAAAAAGGTTGCAGCTTATTCAACCCAATTGCTTCCAACTCCCGTCCCAAAATACACATAGTATTTAACAGTGGCAAATTTGATGTTAAGTCTCTATTTGGCAATGTCTCTGCTGAAAACAATGAAATATGTAGAGAGAAATTGGTATACTTGACCTCTTGCGCCATTAAAAACTCATTAATTTAATGGAAATGGTTTTATTTGATCAGAAATAGAATCACAGAAATCTTGAGATTTGCAGGTACTATCTGACATGCAAGTTGAGAAGCAGCCATATATCTTCCTCTGTAACGTCTATGTACTTAATGCAAAGGACATTAAGTACAGATGAAATTTGATATTTTTTTTATAAACTAATTTGCACTGCTTTTATTAATGTGCACTATCTTCTGCTACATCTAAGAGAGCTGTGCATGTAAATACCTCTCATAATTATATGTGGATGCTACTTAGGTAGGCACACCTTTTAGCTAGCATTGCAAATTATATGGTACAGTGAAGTGGTGATCACCACTAATTACAAGGAAATGCTTGTCATCCATGAAGTACTGTTTTGGTTGGCAATAAATAATGACCAGGGCACGAGGTGAGGGAGATGCTGTGAAGCACTGAGGCGAGAGGGAGTTGTATTCTGCTTCAAGAGGTCTCTCCACTTGTGATATAATCGCTTGATTTATCCACATATTTTGCAAATAAATCAGAACAGATTAGGGTATATGCACACAAATAGTATATGGAATCCTGTATTGATTCAGATGCAATACATGAAATCCTAAGGGCTTAATCTTAAAATATGGCAGGGAGAGAAAGGTGAGCAATCTGATCCTGGCCTGTGATCTGAGGTGAACAAATTTATTTTTCGGGTTGGCCAGCAAACTGAAAAAATAAAGGGAAACTTTTGGTTTAGTGGTTCTGGAAATGTTTGGAATTTTTCAGCATATTAGAAAAAGTCTGTTTGGGGCCAGCAAACTCTGTACGTGTGTGTGCCTTTAGTCCAGTGATTTGCCCAGTATGCAGGAGACCCAGGTTTGCATCCCCACTCTGTAGGCAGGAGTGGAACTCAGATTTCCCTCCTAACAATTAGGCTATTCTAAGGCGGCGCACTCTCAGTCTCTCCTGTTCATGTTGTTCCACTTTGTGTAGATATATAAATATTCATTGGGCCAGACACAGAGAACAACTCTATAGCCTGGTGATTAAGGCAGTCACCTGGGAAGTAGGAGATGTGGATTCCAATTCTTCCTTTGTACCTGAGAGAGGCTTGCACCCTTAAATAGCAGCAGTATACTCAAGTGGTAACAAATTGTGATAAAATAGGAACTAAACTTTCTGATTAGTCTCTTTCTTTAATTCAGTCCTCTCCTTTATGTAAAGCAAATAATAAACTGTGCTCTAAATCCCAGACTGGGATTGTGCAAAAAATGTAAATTACTAGACTGTTTCTGTGTCGTTCTACTGTTCTTCAATGTGTACAAAAGCTTCATCCAGGATCTCTGGATCTTTAATAATACAGCTGTTTTCCTAAATT